AGAGAGAGAGAGAGAGAGAGAGAGAGAGAGAGAGAGAGAGAGAGAGAGAGAGAGAGAGGAAAAGAAAGCAGCAACAGGAAAAGTGGAGATTCTCTTTGATGCTTTTTGATTTCCTCAGAGGACACAGTTTATCTGCCATCACTCTTGATCGGTCTCCACCTCTTTTATCTTTTAATTTAAGAGTCACAGCAACAACCTCCACGAGCAGCTGAGGAAGAAAAATCTCCATGAAACCAAACATGGAGTTGCCAGGGTGTGCCTCCTGCAGCAGGTCATCATTTGGAGTCTAAGAGTGGCTCCTCCGACTGTAACCGAGTGAAATCACAGACTGAGGTTTAACCACTAGGTTGGTCCTTCCAATCGTCGTCACATGCAGCACATATACACATACCAGCTACAACATTATGACCACTTCCCTGCTAAGTTATGCTGCTCATTTAGATGTGAATCCTGGTTTATTGTTTTTACACATTTGCCAAGTTCTCAGCTCAAAACAGTCTTTTTTTAGTTCTCTGGTAGACGATAACTTTAATATCACATTGCAAAAGATTTCGATGAACAGTTGGTGAGGTATTCATGTGTGAAGTAACAGGAAGTGATGTCAAAGGGGGAATGTCTGAATGTAAACAGAGCATCACTTCAATACATTGACTCAAAAACATCATCGAACTTTCAGCTATCCTAGTAACGTTCTAATCAGCTTTTAGCAAAATATAAAAAAGACTTCATCCAGGCCAAACTTCATATACATAAAAGCTCGTTTTTAAAGAAAAACAATTTTTTGTTACCTTCATGATTGACTTTACACACAATGTATTTGCTTCTCTACTAATCAGATAAAAAAAACAACAAAACTTCCAATGTCTTGCTCACTTTTTGGAACTCCTGATTTCATCTTGAACAGATCGTTTTTCCTTTGTTCACTTCAGTTTTATTATTGTCATTTTATTTAATATTTTTTTCTTATGTACAGATGTTCATTCCCACTGGCTGCATTAGTGTTCTGACTTACAAAGGTTTATCAAAAAAAAGCATTCCGTTAGATTATTTTTGACTCATATCAGAGAGATGAAGAAGAGTCATAGTTCAAATAATAATGTTTAAACAAAGACCAGAGAGTTTTCTTTCAAGAGTTCCCCTTTGACGTCACTTCCTGTTTCACTCTGACCAAGTTCAAAAGAAAAGTTGCCAGTTATGTGACAAATTTGGTAAAATCACGAGTATTAAGACAGGTTTCTTAAATATAAAGATGTTTTCTTTGAACTTTGAAGAATTAGTGGAGGAC